GAGAGGAAAGTGGCCATACCTTCTGGGAGAAGAAAAGAAGGCAGGAGACCTGGTCCGATCTCCCTTTCAACACGAAAACTGGTCTCCTAGGTAAAATGACTAATGCTATTTAATAAGAGGAGAATCTTTATGGAATTGTCTTAATTGAATGTGTCTGTAAAGACTTCTGATAAGAGAAAATAAAACAGAAGCTTTGGATTTATGAACATTAGTCTCTGGAAACCATCCCATCATCTGAAATATAAAATAAAGATATTCCATAGACCAAATGCTCCCCATGGTATAAAACATTGCCATTGTGTGAGGTAATTACCTGTGTAACTCACTTAGAGACCTCATTCTTTATATATTTTTAGTCTACTTTTATCATTATCCTCAACCTATTAACTGTCTAGACTAATTAAATATGAGTTGTTTCCTTTTCATTGTGTTTTAAACTTTAAAATGATATTGCTTAACTTAACCTCTCTTTTTTCTTCATCATTTGATGTTACTACAAGTAGATTCTGAAAAGCCTAAATTTATTTCATAATTCTTATAATAGACTTAGAGTTAAGTAAGTCATCTCAGGGTTCTGAGAGTTACCTTGACAATGCCTATAAATTATCCCCTAGTAGTTTAATTAATTCCGACTTATGTAATTCAGTGCTTATATTATTCTTAATTATATTTGTTTAAAAGGTTTTGAAGGTACTTATATCAGCAAAGTGGTATCCCACATGCTTCATTTTTATATTCATTTGCAGAATTCTACCATGGTGTTTTATCTGCCTCACTCTTTGGCCTGATAAGCTGATTTATGTCATGTAGAGAACAAGCTGAACAGATTTTCATGATGGATAAGACTTCATTTCAGTACCCTGGAAAATCTAAAATCCTTAGGGATGGAGGGCGGTGGACTCATCTACTAATAAAAGACAAGTCCAGGAAGTCAACTACTCACCTTACACTGTCCCATAGCCTCTGTTTAGAAATGTAAGCATTTATAGCTATTAAGAAAAGTGTTAGTACAGTACTTCATTCATTTATTATTCATCACAAATATTAAGCACATTTATTCATCATTGAGTATGGAGAGATGAATAAGCAGACATGATCTATATCCTCATGAAGCTGACAGTTCAATGGGGAAGGCAACAGTAAACAAATATAAAAATAACCACACAATTTGATAAAGTCTTTTAAAATATTACTTGTTGCTTTGGAAAAAAAATAGGAAAGGAAACATACTTTGGACAGAGACTTTTTTTAAATGAAGTGATGTACAAACTGAGGTTAATCACAAGGTGTGGCTGGCATAGGAGGGGAAAGAGGTGTGAGGTGTGTGATATTTTCAACAAGGAAAACAGCATGGACCCAGCCATTGAGCAGGAAGAAGTTTGGTTCCTTTGATTAGATGAGTGAAAGCCAGGGTAGCAAGAGGTAAGCATGGGTAGGCGGAAATGACAAAGAAAGGACAAAAGAGGTGTTGCAGAAATGAAGCCATGTAGGCCATGATGAATGGTACAAGGAGAAAACCTTCTCCACTCAAAACACCCATCCCTGTGGATGGCCAGCTGCCCTCACAACACTCTTCAGACTCCAGCCAAGTATCTTTCCCTCCAACCACCCAGAAGGAAGAGGGAATTGGCTGGTTGGTGAGTTTAATAGAGGAAACTCATCACAGGTAGCTCTTATCCTTCCTCTCTCCCCATTTCTTTGGGAAATATACACCTTGAGAAGCACTCACTCTTCAGTCTTTCTCAAGGACATAGGGCAAGTTCCACGGGGGGAGAAACAAAAGCCTTCCACTTCCCAGCTCTCCAGAGGTAAGCCAAACTCTCAATATGAGAGATTTGGATTAGAAGGCCCACTCTTCCTTAAATATAAGCCAAAGTCCTCAAAATGTATTTATCCACACTAATGAAAGCGTATCTTAATTAATGTATTTATTAATAAGATATGACATTAGTAAGTATGACTATACCATGTAACATACTGACTCTTACTGCAGAAACTAGTTAGATGCTTACCAAATCCATTTTCTTTTTCTTTTGGGGTATACAGCTTAAACGCATTGCTCAACATGCCTTGCAATGAGGTATTGCTATACAAATGAGTACTCATCTGTGAATTATAAGTGGAAATAACGCATGCTACTCTCAAACCTGGCCCATATAAATTATCCTTGCATAATCTTCCCTTCTCTCTTTTTTCTAATCTCTGATCAGATGGACTAGTGTCCAACTGAGTGAACCTCTGAGAACCTGAAGGACAGCAGAGTCACTGTATAGATGGAGAAAGCTGCCCTCCAAACACAGATAGGGCTGTATGTGAGTCAACAGTAATCACCTATTGAGTGTTACTGGGATTTAGTGTATTGCTTGTTACAGCAGTTAGGTTAGGAAAGAGTGGTGTCAGTGGGCATCCACTGAACCATCAGCCTGTGATGGTTTCGGCAGGTGAATGTGAACTTCCTTGAACTGCTGAATTACTTGGAAGGCAGCTAATCTACTAAGTAACAGATAATTCACTGAAGTGTTTCCAACAATGGGCTAATACAATCCGATGTAATTTCTTAGAAATATCATGCTGCTTAGTGGGTGTAAAACGAACGTAAATAGGTCAACAGTGTTGGTAAATAGACCTGGAAGGAAAAAGCAAGGAGATGATAATGGCCCTGTCTGGAGAAGTAGCAGGGATGGAAAGAATGATGTGAGATACAGTTTGGAGGCAGAATTGATAAGATACATTAATGTTTATAGCCACTTCAATGGAATAATTTATTTAAGCCAGAGGAATAGCAACAAGAGTCAATGTTTCAAAATTAGCATTGAGCCCAGAACTGCACTAATATTCCACCATACACCTATTTCTAATAACTGTCTTCAACGACCCTGCCTTGATGTATGCAGAATAGCTCCCATATGCCACATGTTTTAAAAAGGTAAGGTGTGAGTGTAGAATTTTAGCTACATACAACTTAGTAATTCTAATTTTCTATTTTCTCCCAAATCAGAAAGGTATTTTGAGGTGTTTAAAATAAGGCTTCAATGTAAGACAGAAAGGGGCCCAACAATGCCTGTGTCTCTATAAGTATTCATACATATTTTTGAGGGAATATTATAAATTATAAGCTGCTAGGCACATTATGATCACAAAAAGATGACTTATTAAGAAAACATATTAGAACCTCCCAAGCAAATGCTCACAATTTTCAAAGAGAATTAAAAGTTACTTTTTAAATTTTTGTTACCTTGAGACTAATTTTTAAATATTAGCAAGTATTCTCACATATGGCAGAGAATCTCTTCCATTTAACAATCAGAGTCACTGATTGTTAAAATGAGGAACCAGAATTATGAGTATTCAATGTTACTTACATGAATGTTTGATCCTCTAGACCATGAAATTTCATATAAATGATCCTTTTCACACACTCAGAATTCATAATCTAATTCTGAATCAATATAGACAGGCTTGCAAAGGAAAAGCTGAATAAGTATTAAATTCAGCATGGAAACAGCATTTTGGATATAATTACCTCTACTATACATTATTTTGGTTGTATTTTAAACACTTAGATTTTGCAATTAAATTCTTATCTTTTCTCTTCTCTATATGTCAATAATTGAAGAATGATTTCCCTTTAAAAGCACACCAGACTTTCAAATGCATTTTTACAAATCTAGGTCTATTAAGCACATCTGTTTCCAACTTTAACAATTGCTAATCTTTCCATCACCAGTTCTTAGACAGGCATGTTTTTGCTTTTAACATTTTTGGCATCTACAACAGAAATTACACTTGTATTCAAACCTTCATAGAGATGATGAGCTATGATAAATGCAAAGGTCATTATCAGAATTTTTGAGGAAAAAGGGAGTAAGAAAGAATAACTTACATGAAATTTTAAAGAACAAATCATGACACACCTTCTGATTGTCAATCAACTGTATGGAGACTGAATATTTTACGCTTATACTTGTGCTACAATACTATTTTTAAATGTAGCCTAAAATTCTTGTCTGTTATAACCCATTACAAGAAATGATTAAACAAAGAATATATAAATAATTAAACTCATTCTAAGTAGTCTTGTTTGTTTAGTTTTTAATCATTTTTAAAAATCTAACCTTACTTTATAAAAATAATTTAAACATGTGTATATAACACATTTCTTCAAAAAAAAATCCTAAGAACATCAGAAATGTTTGTTAGGAATGAAAGGACATATTTAAAAAATTTTTCCATATGAATAATTCAAACAGTGTTTGATCGTTATATTTATAAACTTTCAATGTCCACAAAATTTTACATTCATTGAGTTCATTATTCAACTTTGTGGTTCATTTAACTGACATATGCACTCAAAAGACAAATGTTTCACAATTTTGAGGTTTCCCTTGTTCTGAAACCCTATCAGCATTTTATCTATCAAAAGCATCATATATGTATTAATAAATACTTCTGCAGGATCATCAAATACAGATCCACCTTACACTGTATAACATCACACTTTTATTTTTTCTCCTCTCACTTACTTTGCTACCAAAAATCATATTTGAACAGAAAACATTAAACATTTTCAAATATACATATTGCTTTTTAAACCAACTCAAAAACTTGACTTTTTCAGTATATTTGCTACATAAATGTTACTCAAATAAAGGCTTACGAAACTAAGATTATCAAGTCTGTACTGCACACTAGTGGCAAGTGGTAGTAAATGCATTCTTTTTTTAAACAAATTTTCCACTAATTGCATCTTAAATATTAGCTTTTTCAGTCAAAATTAGAACCCATTATATTATAGAGCACATAAACACATATTCTAAACACAATGTGTTCTTGTGTCATGAACTATTTTTCCAGTATACATCAATGCATTTTGAATGTCATACCCAGAGAGAGGTTCCTGTGCATGTAAATACTATGAATCCATATATCCATGTATATGTTTGTGCAAAGAGAGAAAAAGCTAGGCTTCATTTCTTCCTTTACATCATATTTCCTCATACCTCTTTCACATGTTCTGGCTTTGATTCTTTCAGTTCTTCATACTTCCACTTCCATAGAGACAAAGCCGACTCCAGCCTCTCTATTTCTTTTTCCAAAGCTGTGCGCATTCTAAATAATTTAAAAATTAAAAGAAAAAAAGTCAGCTTCAATTGTAAAATAATTTCAAGGATGCATTCAATTTTATAGCCATTTTCCTAATTTTTGATATTTGTATCTGATCATAATGAGAGAAAACATTTTGCAACTTATTAAAAATTATAAATATTGAATAAAACTTTTTTAGTTTATTATTCTGACAATGAACTTTACAGTAGATTACGTATATTTAATTTGGCTTTGCCAGTATTTACATTCTGCTTGATTTCTTCCATGTATTTCATGCATGCCTCTCAATTCCTCTCACTCATAATATTTTCTTACATAGGAGGATATACATGTTTCTAATTTTAACATGGTATTCTATCCATCTTCATATTGTGGCTGTATGTGAATGAAAAAAATCATTTGAAATGACACAGAATTCCAACAGGCCACCTAACAATCTTAAAAAATAGTCATTTATTGGGGATCTAAAAATAATTTTAAGTATTTCAAATTTGGTTGTAAAAAAGAAATTTCACTGGGATCCTTATTTAAATTATTCTAAATAACTGAAATTAATTTCTCTATTTGTAGAACTAGCAACAGAACTAGGATTAAAATTTAGTCCTTTAGGCCGGGCACGGTGGCTCACATCTATAATCCCAGCACTTTGGGGGGCCGAGGAGGGCGGATCACGAGGTCAGGAAATCCAGACCATCCTGGCGAACACGGTGAAACCCCGTCTCTACAAAAAATTAGCCGGGCGTGGTGGCGGCGCCGGTGGTCCCAGCTACTCGGGAGGCTGAGGCAGGAGAATGGCGGGAACCCGGGAGGCGGAGCTTGCAGTGAGCCGAGATCGCGCCACTCACTCCAGCCCTGGGGGACCGGAGCGAGACTCGGCTTCAAAAAAAAAGAAAATATAAATAAAAAATTGTGTCCTTTAATACACCAACCACTGGATTTTTGTTCTTTTTTTTTTTTTTTTTTTTTTTTTTGCCCACAATGTCTGTTAGAGTCATTGATAATTGTTTTTATTTCTGTTGTAATGAACACATATTGACCTTTGAAGCTGGCCTGTTCTTATCTGTAAGGTAGATTTGATTACTATTCAGAAATGCTCGCGGATCACGAGGTCAGGAGATCGAGACCATCCTGGCAAACACGGTGAAACCCCGTCTCTATTAAAAAATTACAAAAACAAAAAACAAAAAAAACTAGCCGGGCATGGTGGCGGCGCCTGTAGTCCCAGCTACTCGGGAGGCTGAGGCAGGAGAATGGCGG